GTGTTTGTAGTTCAGTTACAATTTTATTTTTTCTTCGTTGGTTACCATAGCTATGGTTGAAAGTCCGCTTGCTGTTTAGTTAAAATAAATCTGTGAGCGTTTAGAAGCATCCTTTCTTGTATGATTTTGCTAATCAAATCCTATGACTAATCCGCGCTCTCTTCCTTCCTGTCCTAGTTAGAGAATGGCGTGGTACTGTCTTTTTTTACTCCTTCCCCATCTACTCAAAAAAATAGCCAGTTTTTTATTAAGACTCGATATTGAACGGCATAGGCTGAATAAAGTCGGTTGTCCTTTGCGGCGATATTCTTATAATTTCATCTCAGCTTCATTGAACGTCTAATGATTCACTCTAGAGGAAGCTTAGATATCGGTATTTATGGCTATTCCGGTCAACTACCAGTATCACCTGTCGCCCTGTCGATCATCGACTACCTCGAGCGGCCGCTGGTTACGTCTACACTTGTCCTCGTCGCGAGCCAGAGTGATCCAGTGGATCGTCTTCGCTCAAAGCATAACGTTCTTCTCGTTCAGAGCTTTCGTGAAGAAGTCATGCCATCGGAACCCCGGACCCCTCACCAGTCGCGTGTATAGGATAATACGGAGTGTAGTCATTTTGATAGCCGTTAATTGCGTATTCAGCGCCTTCCCACAGAGTTCAAGTCTCCAATGTACTCATTGTCAGATGTGAACGTCAAAGGAAAGGGCAGAGAGGTGAGACTTCAGCCGGCTGTCCTTCTCCTGGTTCGCTGCTGCCTCGATCTACCTGAACACTTAGCGGATTTCCTTCTGCTATCTTTCGAAGCTAGCGGCTGAGTGCATGTTGACTTCTCGGCCTAAATTCACGTAACTATTGCATTAAAAAATATTATTCCCCTTAAGCGCGGAGGGAGCATCATAAGTACGTTTCTCACAAATACTGTCTAGAGTTAAGTCTTAAGCCGACCTTCCCAAGGGTGCCGTTGCATTTTAGAATAAGCTCGATCGTGGCAGCGGTTCCAAACCAGTCGCTGCTTGAGTTTTGTCTGGATAACCTCGACCATCCTACTATGTCCTCTGGGCCACACCTGCCACAGGGCTGCTTTTATGGCAGAGCTCATACCATCCTTTATGAAGGGGTGCAAGACGTTGCTTTCTCCGAACCATCGATCATGGGACCAAGTGGTTATTTCACAGGTGATTCGGGTAGATATCTGTGTTAAGCAGGGTACCCGTTGTCAACAGGGTAACCATTGAATAGAGCTCAGGAAGAGCA